GGTTAGTACCTACCAACAGTGTCTAAGGAAGGACAGATGGTGAACTGGAGACAGGGTCATGGACGCCCATGGCTCACTGATGATGAGGTTGACCTACTGTAGATTAAACTTTTAACTTCCATTTGTACTTTTCAAAAAATTAAAATTTGGTTGGACATGAGAAATACTGTCCATTGGTCTCTATGAAGAGAAAGAGTCAGGGGCTGTAGTGGTGATATCACACCTAGAGTGGTGAGGCTGTTGGATTGGTCTAAGAAATTCTCTCTAACTCGTCCTCACGACCAGTTTCACTCCTTTTACATAAGTTTTTCACTGAATTGTAGACACATCTGTGCTCTTCCTGACTGTGGAAGCAAATGGAGTCACAGAAGATGCACAGTGAGCTGCAGAGTGACATGAGGACCGACCATCTGCCACATTGACTCCTATGTAAACAGTGTTAGGCAGGTGGTCATAATGTTATGGCTGATCAGTGAATTATATATGCATGCCACCTCCTCTGTTTTATGAAGCCTTGATTCAGTGCACCATGCATCCTTGCATTTCACTACAAATGCAAAGTCTCTTACTCACCACTGCATTCTTTATGAGTTGGTGGGATGGACATCACTGACCTTTCGTATACAACAACTGGTATATTTTTTGTCTATAAAATGATACTGGGTAAACTTCCAGCTTATCTTTGCACCTTTTTCTGTCTTAGCGCTGGTGGTTACCAGCAAAGCTGTTCATCATTTTAAGGACACAAACTTGCCTCTGACAGCCAACGAATCAGCATTAGCTGGTTTGCATGGTATCTTTTGCTGATGTGGACTCTGCGTGGGGCTGTGCTGTTATGTGCTGGGTGGGTATACTGTGACATTATTGCTGTGGTGATTTAGGTGAGGGCCAGAGCCAGCAGGTGACCTCAGCTCTGTGGTAATGAGTACAGTAAAACCAAAGAGTGCTGGCCACAGCCTGTCGATCACTCTAAGAGTTGTGCTGCTGGCTAAAGGGGATTACATCAGCGGGTGAGATCATACTGCATCTTCTCCCAGGCCTGGAGTGGCTGCTCTCACCCCCACCACTTTGTCTCTGAGTCCTTGTGCTCACCAGACACATACACACATACATACACAGAAGGAGAGGCGTATTAGAACACTAACCCACTCCAAGGCTGCAAATGCACTAAGTGGCTTCTAGTAGCCCGTCTCTCATTCTCTCTTTTTCGTTCTCTATCACTTATCCTCGGCTTCTTTGTGTGTTTCTCTATGCAGAACTTCTTCCCAGAGCAGATGGTGGCTTGGTGTCAGGAGTCTGATGGCTCAAGCCCTCAGTCACCGCTCTTACAGGTGAGGCGATAGCTCAGTGCACAGAAACACACAGCTGACTCCTAAGCAGCTGCTGAGTAAAAAAGTGAAAGAAGGAAAACATTTTTGACTGAATGATTTTTACCTTTTTGATCACATCTGGTAGTCCAAACATACTGTATGTACAGTATGTATAAAATTTTTAGGAATAAAGAAAAAGAGCCTGGTTCATTATGCCACTGAGATCTCTGGACATAATAGATTTTTAAATGCATTTAACAGTACTAAGGAACATGACGTTTCCAGGATGTTAGAAGCAGACACAAACATTTGTGTTACATTCAGTTCCCCTGTATCATTGTTCCCAGCAGATGCTGTTGTGTGTTTTCTGCAGAACTTTTTGAACGCCAGCAGCTGTCCAGAGATCCAGGGCTATCTGTACATGAAGGAGCCTGGACGTAAGTCCTGGAAGAAGCTCTACATGTTCCTGCGACGCTCGGGTCTCTACTACTCTACTAAAGGAACGTCCAAGGTGATAGATTGACAATTGACACATTCATAACTTTCAAATGTTTTGTGTAAAATACTTGAATGTAACAGTGTTACTGTAGGGAATTTATCATTTAAGCAAACATCAGCAGAAAATTTAAATGCAAAAATCTAACTTTTGCATTTTCTGAAGCAACAGTAGGCTTTAAATCAAACAGACAATAGCAGTCTGTAGTCCTTCATGTTATTACTGACAACCCTCTCCCTTTCCT